TTTCTAGAGCGGTTTCAATCAAATAAGACAAATTTTAACGTTGTTTATGTTTTTTTTTTTGAGTGTTTAGCACTTTCACATTTTGATTTGGATGATCTTGATAGTGTTCTTTTGTTTTATTTCGTGCATGTGATAATGTTAAGGAAAAGAAGCCCATGATAAGGATAACTATTGCTCTATACTTCTTGTAACTAGTATAGGTTTACTACCATTACACTTCCTATAATTTTTCCTTTACTTCTTAAATCTCATCTCATACTTCTTGAAGCTCATCTCATACTTCTTGTAACTAATATATAGTGGCCTTTGTAAAAGACTTTATTCGAGAGCTAATAAACTCTTTCATGGTATCGAGCCTTTAAAAGTTTAACATCAACAACCTTTTTTTCAAACTCACCATGGCAGCGCTGACTACCCCATTAGATTAGAACCTTCGCCGACTATTCCCTCCTCATCACTCGTCGTTCCAAGTCCCTTCCTAGTTTTCATTACCCATCATTTCTCAAACCTACTTCGACCAACTTCATCTTATGGAAAACACGAGCTTCATCCCCTTTTAGGTTGTCATGGTCTTCTCCATCATGTTGATGGATCTCGTCTTCCCCCAAATCTTATGCTTGATAACAATCCAACTTATCTTTTGTCAACTAGGAATGTCACGATCAACTTGTTATCACTTGGATTGTTGGTTTTCTAACGGATGCTATTTTATTGTTGGGGCCTTTACTGACTCGAGAGTTTGGTTGAAATTTACAATTGCATATGGTTCCGGCACCGTAACTCAAATAAATTACTTAAAAAGTAGACTTTATCATTTTATACAATGGAAAACTAAACTTGTCGAGTAGTATTTTAGCATGGAAAAGCCATCTTTGATGTCCTTCATTCTCTTGGCTCCCCCATTCCCATTGATGATCTCGTCCATAAATTACAACCAACAAAAAACCAAAAGAAGTCTAATAACCCAAAATTTCTCTTATTTTTATTTTTATTTATTTATTTTTATTTGAAGTTTTTTTTAAAGAAGAAAAAGAAGAAGAAGAAGAAAAGAAAAGAAAGAAAATGATGAAACACACAAAATAAATTCATTTAGGGACATAATTGAAGTAATTAGGGGTGTAATCGAGTCAATTAAGAAATTTAGGTCTTAAATTGCACCTCACAGGGACCCAATTGATAGGATTGTGTTGAAATTATACCACAAAAGGGTGTAATCATGAAAAATTGAAAAGCATAGGGACCAAGTTGAATTTTTGGAGCGGACGACGGGATTGAGGTGGAGATGACGACTGTCGTCCACTCTAATTCTAATTTTGCTCCGAAAATCTTTGGAGAAATCCGCCAAATCCTACATCAAATTTCCTGTTTTGATTTTGCATTTATCATGATTATTGGATGGAATTAATACTAACAGAGAATCAAGTAATTTTCTCGTTTTGATTTTGCATTAATCATAAATCAAAGAGAAAAAATTTTAAGAAAAATTTAGGATTTGAGATTTGATTCTAGGAGAAATTCTAGAAAATTTTAGGCTTTAAAACATTTTGAATTTGACAGAATGAGGAGGAAAAAATAGAGAGAGGAATTCTAGGTTGAGAAAGGTGGAAAATCGAAAAAAAAAAAAAAACTAAATCTTTGATTTTTTAGCAACCGGGTTTTCTCGGATTTTTGGGTTGAGTATTCTTCATGTTCTTGATGTTCATCATCATTGAGGTTTCAATTTTGTTTTTCGGGTCCACTGTTTGATCTTCCTAGAGTTCGACTTTAACTACCATCAATCATTTAACTTCAGTCCGCGAGTTGGAAGTTCAATTAGCACTTTTGGATTTTTCCCCACCAAATTTTCTAGGTAGCATTTGAATGTTCTTAGCATTCTTGGTTTTGTGTGTTGAAGTTCATCATTGCTGAAGCTTACTCTTTAGATCTCAAACTCAATCGAGTTTTCAAAATCCATCGACAACTCCCCGAGTTTTTTTCTTTCCAAAACAACAACTCCGAGGGAAGTTTTTGTCAAACGATAATCATCCATTTAGGCTCACTGAGTCGGTAATCATTTTTTTTCTTTTTCTTCTTTCTTTGTTTTTCGCTTTTGATTCTATTAAATTTCTTCATAAATAATTACAAACTATTTGCTTAAGCTTCGGATTTAGTGTTGTATTTGGATAAGAACATGAACAGGGTATGTTATTTGTCTTGAACAAATCTTTAATTTCGGAGAAAATCCGGGAAAATAGATAGAGAATAATAAGTTTGAGAAGACAAGAGAGAGGGAGGGTCTTTAAGGGTGTTTGATCTATTTTTGTCAAGAATGTTCACTTGGGCCTCGTTTTCGGGTTAAAGCCCGCCGAGAAAAAAAAAGATGCACGGGTTGGATCGATTTCAGCCTAGCCCGACTCGATGCGGACAAGGAAAAAAAATAAAAGGGGGCTGGATCGATTTCAGCTCGACCCACACCCTTTATCCCAAAAAAAAAAGAGAGGTCCAGTTTGTAGCCCACCTTTCAAAAATCCAAAAGCAAAAAGGAGGGGTAATAAAGAAATAAAAAATAGAATTAGGGAAGAAAAAAATAAGTAAAAGGAAGAAAAAAGAAGGAAAAAGGAAAAAAAGAGGGGATGGGTAAAAAAAAAAAAAAGAAGAAGAAGAAAAGAAAAGAAAGAAAATGATGAAAAACACTAAAACGAATTCATTTAGGGACACAATTGAAGTAATTAGGGGCGTAATCGGGTCAATTAAGAAATTTAGGCCTTAAATTGCACCTCACAGGGACCCAATTGATAGGATTGTGTTGAAATTATACCACAAAAGGGTGTAATTGTGGAAAATTGAAAAGCATAGGGACCAAGTTGAATTTTTGGAGCAGACGACAGGATCGAGGTGGAGATGGCAACTTGTTGTCCACTCCAATTCTAATTTTCCTCCGAAAATCTTTGGAGAAATCTGCCAAATCCTCCATCAAATTTTTTGTTTTGATTTTGCATTTATCATGATTATTGGACTGAATTAATACAAATAGAGAATCAAGCAATTTCTCGTTTTGATTTTGCATTAATCATGAATTAAAGAGTAAAAATTTTGAGAAGAATTTGGGATTTGAGATTTGATTCTAGGAGAAATTCTAGGAAATTTGGGGCTATAAAACATTTTGAATTTGACACAACGAGAAGTAAAAATAGGGAGAGGAATTCTATGTCGAGAAAGGTGGAAAATCGAAAGCAAAAAAAAAAAAAACTAAATCTTCGATTTTTTAACAACTCGGGTTTTCCGGATTTTCCGGGTTGAGTGTTCTTCATTTTCTTGGTGTTCATCATCATTGGGTTTCAATTTTGTTTTTCGAGTCCATTGTTTGATCTTTCTAGAGTTTGACTTCAACTACCATCAATCATTTAACTTCGATCTCGTGAGTTGGAAGTTCAATTAGCACTTTTGGATTTTTCCCCACCAAATTTTCCGGGTAGCATTTGAATGTTCTTAATGTTCTAGGTTTTGCGTGTTGAAGTTCCTCACTACCGAACCTTACTCTTCCGATCTCGAACTCAATTGAGTTTCCAAAATCGATCGATAACTCCCCGAGTTTTTTTTCTTTCCAAAACAACAACTTGAGGGAAGTTTTTTTCAAACGATAATAATTCATTGAAGCGCACTGTGTCGGTAATCATTTTTTCTTTTTCTTCTTTCTTCATTTTTCAATTTTGACTCTATTAAATTTCGTCACAAACAATTGCTAAATATTCGCTTAAGCTTCGGATTTAGTGTTCTATTTGGATAAGAACATGAACATGGTATGTTATTTGTCGTGAACAAATCTTTAATTTCTAGACAAAATCCGGGAAAATAGAGAGAGAATAAGAGTTTGAGAAGAATAGGAGAGAGGGAGAGTCTTTAAGGGTGTTTGATCCGTTTTTATCAAGAATGTTCGCTTGGTCTTGCTTTTGGGTTAAAGGCCGCCGAGAAAAAAAGACTCGCGGGTTGGATCGATTTCATCCTAGCCCAGCCCGATGGAGACAAGAAAAAAAAAGAAAAGGAGGTTGGACTGATTTCATCCCGACTCGCACCCTTTATCCCAAAAAAAAAAAAAAGAGGTCCGACTCGTAGCACACCTTTCAAAAACCCAAAAAAAAAAATGGAGGGGTAGTAAAGAAATAAAAAATAGAATTAGGGAAGAAAAAAATAAGTAAAAGGAAGAAAAAATAAGAAGGAAAAAGGAAAAAAAAAAGGTATACGTAAAAAAAAAAAGAAGAAGAAGAAGAAGAAGAAGAAGAAAAGAAAAGAAAGAAAATGATGAAGAACACAAAGCAAATTCATTTAGGGACACAATTGAAGTAATTAGGGGTGTAATCGAGTCAATTAAGAAATTTCAGCCTTAAATTGCACCTTACAGGGACCCAATTGATAGGATTGTGTTGAAATCATACCACAAAAGGGTGTAATCGTGGAAAATTGAAAAGCATAGGGACCAAGTTGAATTTTTGGAGCTGGACAACGAACTCACGGTGGAGATGGCGACCTATCGTCCACTCCAATTCTAATTTCCCTTCGAAAATCTTTAGAGAAATCTGCCAAATCCTCCATCAAATCTTATGTTTTGATTTTGCATTTATCATGATTATTGGACGTAATTAATACCAACAGAGAATCAAGCAATTTCCTGTTTTGATTTTGCATTAATCATGAATTAAAGAGGAAAATTTTGAGAAAAATTCGGGATTTGAGATTTGATTCTAGGAGAAATTCTAGAAAATTTTAGGCTATAAAACGTTTTGAATTTGACCGAACGAAGAGGAAAAAATAGAAAGAGGAATTCGGGTTGAGAAAGGTAGAAAATCGAAAGCAAAAAAGTAAAAATAAATCTTTGATTTTTTAGCAATTGGGTTTTCCGGATTTTCCGGGTTTTCCGGGTTGAGTGTTCTTCATGTTCTTGGTGTTCATCATCATTGGGGTTTCAATTTTGTTTTTTGGGTCCATTGTTTGATCTTCTGGAGTTCAACTTCAACTACCATCAATCATTTAACTTTAGTCTGCGGGTTGGAAGTACAATTAGCACTTTTGGATTTTTCCCCATAAAATTTTCCGGGTAGCATTTGAATGTTCTTAGCGTTCGGGTTTTGCATGTTGAAGTTCATCACCGCTCGAACCTTACTCTTTAGATCTCGAACTCGGCCGAGTTTCCAAAATCCATCGACAACTCCCTAAGTTTTTTTTCTTTCCAAAACAACAACCCGAGGGAAGTTTTTGTCAAACGATAATCATCCATTTAAGCTCACTAGGTCGGTAATCATTTTTTTTTCTTTTTCTTCTTTCTTCATTTTTTGCTTTTGATTCTATTAAATTTCGTCACAAACAATTGCTAACTATTCCCTTAAGCTTCGAATTTAGTGTTGTATTTGGATAAGAACATGAACAGTGGTATGTTATTTGTCTCGAACAAATTTTTAATTCTTGAAGAAAATTTGGGGAAATAGAGATAGAATAAGAAGTTTGAGAAGAATAGGAGAGAGGGAGAGTCTTTAAGGGTGGTTGATCCGTTTTTGTCAAGAATGTTCACTGGGCCTCGTTTTCGGGATAAAGCCTCGCTAAGAAAAAAATGTGTGGGCTAGATCGATTTCAGCCTGACCAATCGGATACGTAAAAGAAAAAAAGAAAAGGGGGCCGGACCGATTTCACTCAACTCGCACCCTTTATCCCCAAAAAAAAAAAAAAATAGAGGTCCAACTCGTAGCCCACCTTTCAAAAACCCAAAAAAAGGGGTAATAAAGAAATAAAAAATAGAATCGAGGAAGAAAAAAATAAGTGAATGGAAGAAAAAATATGAAGGAAAAAGGAAAAAAAAAGGGATGGGTAAAAAAAAATGAAGAAAAAGAAGAAAAGAAAAGAAAGAAAATGATGAAAAACATAAAACAAATTCATTTAGGGACACAATTAAAGTAATTAGGGATGTAATCAAGTTAATTAAGAAATTTAGGCCTTAAATTGCACCTCACAGGGACCCAATTGATAGGATTGTGTTGAAATTATACCACAAAAGGGTGTAATCGTGGAAAATTGAAAAGCATAGGACCAAGTTGAATTTTTGGAGTGGAAGACAGGACTCGAGTGGAGATGGCGACTCGTCGTCCACTCCAATTCTAATTTCCCTTCAAAAATCTTTGGAGAAATCCGCCAAATCCTCCAACAAATTTCCTGTTTTGATTTTGTATTTTCATGATTAGTGGACGAAATTAATACCAACAGAGAATCAAGTAATTTTCTCGTTTTGATTTTACATTAATCATGAATTAAAGAGGAAAAATTTTGAGAAAAATTCGGGATTTGAGATTTGATTCTAGGAGAAATTCTAGGAAAATTTGGGCTATAAAACGTTTTGAATTTGACGAACAAGGAGGAAAAAATAGAGAGACGAATTATGGGTTGAGAAAGGTGGAAAATCGAAAGCAAAAAAAAAAAAAAAAAAACTAAATCTTTGATTTTTTAGTAATTGGGTTTTCTCGGATTTTCCGGGTTTTCCGGGTTGAGTGTTCTTCGTGTTCTTGGTGTTCATCATCATTGGGGTTTCAATTTTGTTTTTTCGGGTCCATTGTTTGATCTTCCTACGAGCTTGACTTCAACTACCATCAATCATTTAACATCGATCCGTGGGTTGGAGTTTCAATTAGCACTTTTGGATTTTTCACCATAAAATTTTCTAGGTAGCATTTCAATGTTCTTATCGTTTTGGGTTTTGCGTGTTGAAGTTCATCACTCGTTGAACCTTACTCTTCCGATTTCGAACTCAATCGAGTTTCCAAAATCCATCGACAACTCCCCGAGTTTTTTTTCTTTCCAAACAACAACCTCGAAGGAACTTTTTGTCAAACGATAATCATCCATTTAAGCTCACCAAGTTAGTAATTGTTTTTTTTTCTTTTTCTTCGTTCTTCATTTTTTGGTTTTGATTTTATTAAATTTCATCACGACAATTGCTAACTATTCGCTTAAGCTTTGGATTTAGTGTTGTATTTGGATAATAATATGAACAAGGTATGTTATTTGTCCGGAAGAGATCTTTAATTTCCGGAGAAAATCCGGGAAAATAGAGAGAGAATAAGAAGTTTGAGAAGAACAAGAGAAAGGGAGAGACTTTAAGGGTGTTTGATCTCGTTTTTGTCAAGAATGTTAACTTAGGCTCGTTTTTGGGTTAAAACCCACCGAGGAAAAAAAAGACGCACGGGTTGGATCGATTTCAGCTCCGCCTAGCCCGATGCGTACAAGAAAAAAAAAAAAGGGGGTGGACTCGATTTTAGCCCAGCTCGTACCCTTTATCCAAAAAAAAAAAAAAGAGGTCCAGCCCGTAGCCCACCTTTCAAAAACCCAAAAAAAGGAGGGGTAGTAAAGAAATAAAAAGTAGAATTAGGGAAGAAAAAATAAGTAAAAGGAAGAAAAAATAAGAAGGAAAAAGCAAAAAAAAGTGGATGGATAAAAGAAAAAAGAAGGAGAAGAAGAAAAGAAAAGAAAGAAAGTGATGAAAAACACAAAGCAAATTCATTTAGGGACACAATTGAAGTAATTAGGAGTGTAATTGAGTCAATTAAGAAATTTCAGCCTTAAATTGTACCTTACGGGGACCCAATTGATAGGATTGTGTTGAAATCATACCACAAAAGGGTGTAATCGTGGAAAATTGAAAAGCATAGGGACCAAGTTGAATTTTTGGAGTGGACGACGAAGCTGCGGTGGAGATGGCGACTCGTCGTCCACTCCAATTCTAATTTCCCTCCGAAAATCTTTGGAGAAATCTCCCAAATCCTCCATCAAATTTTTTGTTTTGATTTTGCATTTATCATGATTATTGGACGGAATTAATACCAACAGAGAGTCAAGCAATTTCCTATTTTGATTTTGCATTAATCATGAATTAAAGAGGAAAAATTTTAAGAAAAATTCAGGATTTGGGATTTGATTCTAGGAGAAATTCTAGGAAATTTTGGGCTATAAAACATTTTGAATTTGAGAGAATGAAGAGGGAAAAATAGAGAGAGGAATTCCGGGTTGAGAAAGGTGGAAAATCGAAAGCAAATAATAATAATAATAATAAATAAATCTTGGATTTTTTAGCAATTGGGTTTTTTGGATTTTCCGGGTTTTCCGGGTTGAGTGTTCTTCGTGTTCTTGGTGTTCATCATCATTGGGGTTTCAATTTTGTTTTTCGGGTCCATTGTTTGATCTTCTTAGAGTTTGACTTCAACTACCATCAATCATTTAACATCGGTATGTGGGTTGGAGTTTCGATTAGCACTTTTGGATTTTTCCCCATAAAATTTTCTAGGTAGCATTTGAATGTTCTTAGCGTTCGGGTTTTGCGTGTTGAGGTTCATCACTCGTTGAACCTTACTCTTCCGATTTCGAACTCAATCGAGTTTCCAAAATCCATCGACAACTCCCCGAGTTTTTTTTCTTTCCAAACAACAACTTGAGGGAAGTTTTTGTCAAACGATAATCATCCATTTAAGCTCACCAAGTCGGTAATCGTTTTTTTTTCTTTTTCTTTGTTCTTTGTTTTTCGGTTTTGATTCTATTAAATTTCGTCACAAACAATTGCTAACTATTCGCTTAAGCTTCGGATTTAGTGTTGTATTTGGATAACAACATGAACAAGGTATGTTATTTGTCCGGAAGAAATCTTTAATTTCCGGAGAAAATCTAGGAAAATAGAGAGAGAATAAGAAGTTTGAGAAGAACAGGAGAGAGGGAGAGACTTTAAGGGTGTTTGATCCGTTTTTGTCAAGAATGTTAACTTGGGCCGTTTTTGGGTTAAAACGCACCAAGGAAAAAAGAAGACGCACAGAGTTGGATCGATTTCGGCTCCGCCTAGCCCGATGCGTGACAAGAAAAAAAAAAGAAAAGGGGGCCGGACCGATTTTAGCCCAGCTCGTACCCTTTATCCAAAAAAAAAAAAAGAAGTCCCGCCCGTAGGCCACCTTTCAAAAACCCAAAAAAAAAGGAGAGGTAATAAAGAAATAAAAAGTAGAATTAGGGAAGAAAAAAAAGTAAAAGGAAGAAAAAATAAGAAGGAAAAAGCAAAAAAAAGTGGATGGGTAAAAAAAAAAAAGGAAGGAGAAGAAGAAAAGAAAAGAAAAGAAAGAAAATGATGAAAAACACAAAGCAAATTCATTTAGGGACACAATTGAAGTAATTAGGGATGTAATCGAGTCAATTAAGAAATTTCGGCCTTAAATTGCACCTTACAGGGACCCGATTGATAGGATTGGGTTGAAATCATATCACAAAAGGGTGTAATCGTGGAAAATTGAAAAGCATAGGGACCAAATTGAATTTTTGGAGTGGACGACAAAGCTGCGGTGGAGATGGCGACCTGTCGTCCACTCCAATTCTAATTTCCCTCCGAAAATCTTTGGAGAAATCCGCCAAATCCTCCATCAAATTTTTTGTTTTGATTTTGCATTTATCATGATTATTGGACGGAATTAATACCAACAGAGAATCAAGCAATTTCCTGTTTTGATTTTGCATTAATCATGAATTAAAGAGGAAAAATTTTGAGAAAAATTCAGGATTTGGGATTTGATTCTAGGGGAAATTCTAGGAAATTTTGGGCTATAAAACATTTTGAATTTGAGAGAATGAAGAGGAAAAAATAGAGAGAGAAATTCAGGTTGAGAAAGGTGGAAAATCGAAAGCAAAAAATAATAATAATAAATAAGTAAATCTTGGATTTTTTAGCAATTGGGTTTTCCGGATTTTCCGGGTTTTCCGGGTTGAGTATTCTTCGTGTTCTTGGTGTTCATCATCATTGGGGTTTCAATTTTGTTTTTCGAGTCCATTGTTTGATCTTCTTAGAGTTTGACTTCAACTACCATCAATCATTTAACATCGGTATGTGGGTTGGAGTTTCAATTAGCACTTTTGGATTTTTCCCCATAAAATTTTCTAGGTAGCATTTGAATGTTCTTAGCATTCGGGTTTTGCGTGTTGAATTTCATCACTCGCCGAACCTTACTCTTTCGATCTCGAACTCAATCGAGTTTCCAAAATCCATCGACAACTTCCCGAGTTTTTTTCTTTCCAAAACAACAACCCGAGGGAAGTTTTTGTCGAACGATAATCATCCATTTAAGCTCACCGAGTCGGTAATCATTTTTTTTTCTTTTTCTTCTTACTTCATTTTTCGATTTTGATTCTATTAAATTTCTTC